TATAAGAATCTCGAAATTTTTCACATTTAGGCAACACTGCAACTCGCTTGCTTGACGTCACGCTGGACGAATTTTAGCGGCAAATTCGCTTTCTGGGACCATTTCCTCATATATCGATGGTGGGTAATTCTCAAAAAAAATTCGAAATCGTAACAAAAAAAGACTTTTTTTAAACACCTATCAAGGTACTCGTTTTATGATGAAATTGACTGCAAAATTCAAATTTGTGATCAAAATTGCCAATGGTAGATACAGGAATTGCCATTTTTTCGAAAACCCTTGATGGAATTGCGAATAGAGATTTTTGGGTTTCCAACTTTTTTTTCAAAAAAAAAACGATCTTCATTGCAATAATAATAACATGCTAATCATTTTATGCTGAAATTGACTCAAAAAGGCAAAAATGTCATCAGAATAGCAATTAAGTTGACGGTTTTCCTGAAACTTGAAGATTTTGGCTCGAAAATGCAATAAAATGTTTTTTAAATTATTTTTTAATAAATTTGGTTTTTTGAGACAATTTTAGCTGAAAATGAGTACCAAGTCGATGGGTGATTTAACAAAAAAAAAATTGGAACCCAAAAATAGTTTTTTTTTTTAATTCGCCCATCGAAATAGTTGCAAAGGCTTGTTTGGAACAGGGAAAAAACCTAACAAAAAGGCCTTAATTTCGTAGAAATCCCCCCCCCCTAGTAGCACATGCGCAACAATAAGACAAAGAGAAAACCCATGATGTAAAAAAAGGCCGAGTCTGATTGCTGTGCCAGTTCTGAGACTCGATGCGAGACTCCTGGCCGGCAAACTGCGAATACCCCGAAGCATTTCTGATCCCTCCGTCACCCATTCTGAAGCCGGCAACCGTTTCTGAGCCCGTTTTCTAACCGCACTTTTTTTCCCTGTTCTCAGCTGAGCGCGGACGCTGAACGGCTGATGACTCCCGAGTATCGCAACAGTAAAATCGGCCAAGTGAGGGAGTGCTGCCCCGATTGCAGCGCCGACGAATGTATGACGGCCCTCCAACAAACCGGCTGGGACGTCGCTTTGGCCCTCAAAAGCCTCAAAATCGCAGCCCTATTAAAGTAAGTCCCGTTTTGCCGCGGAAAAACGGATGTTTGCGCAACGTTTCGCCTGCCCAACTAGCTGGCATCTTCAGCGGTAGCCAAAGGTTGCGCGATAGCTGATCAGCAAAGGCTTGCATTTTCAGTGTTTACTTATTTTTAATTGAAAATTCTCGATTTTTCCGAAATCAGTGATCAGAATCAGATAATTGCAAAACATCCGTCTTATTTGCCAGCCACTGATGACGAATCGTTGTGAAAAACTCGATTTTTTTAGGTTAGGATTGGCCGATCGTACGGGCTGCGAGATGGCGCTGCAGCGCAGCAACTGGAACCTCGAATTGGCGGCGTCGGCCATTTTGGACACGTGACAGCCCTGCAGGGCATGCGCTGCTTGAACTGTGATATGGCTTGAGGAGTTTCAGTCTGTATTATGTTTTTTTTCGTTCGTTTTAATCGTTTACTCACGTTGAATTTACAATGTTAGGTTAGGAAATGTTCTAGTTGGTGGCGCCCTCTGGGCCCGCGTGTTCTTTTGGCTCTCTAATTTATTACGTTCTGGTATTCGAAAAATGAGTATTTGCGGCGAAACTTGCCCAGTGATTTTAGTCTAGATTTTTTCAAATATACTATTTGACCACCAGTTGTTGATGTCAATTTTCTGCAAACGTTGGCAACGCAGCATGGGAGGACTGTCAATTTTCCGTCGGGAATTGACGTGTGAAAGTCACCCATCACGTCATTTGGCCAGTAGATATTCACGTTCTTATCACGACATTTCGACGCCCCAATCAGAATTTCTGGGTTTATCGGAAAAAGCCGCATCTAAGGTTTACAACTTCGCATTGACAAACTGGCAAAAGGGTTTCTGTACAACACAAAACAAGGAAAGTTCCGTTCGTGAAGCTGGCAGGTGAATTTCGGCCAGAAGAGTATCGAAAAATGGCACTTACCTCACCCTCTGCCGGCTGCTTTTGCCTCCTCAACAATCCATGGAAGCGCCCCGACCTCCTCCAGTCCGGCCCTGTTGGACCGGCGCATGCCAACCACTGACAGGAAACGTCTGAAAAACCACCCACTGTAAAATCGCCGTATTTCCCCGGAAAAAACCGTTTCGACCGGGAAAACACCCCCCAACAGCAGCCGGAGGGTTGATTGACCGGAAACGCCGCAATTGCCAGCCGGAAAACTCGGAAAAATGCGAATTTTCCGAAATTCAAACGGAGCCGACACGCACCCTGTCACTCACCACAGAGCGCAACGATGCCAAACCTCCCACTCAAAAGGGGACAAAAGGGGTTGGAGCCGGTGAGGGAGGGGCGGCAACGCGGCCGACGGCCGCGCCCAAATTGGACGTGTGCTTCAAAATCAATTATATTGCGCCCCTTAAAACTAGAAACTTAACCAATAGGACAACTAAAATTAGAAACTTAACCCGTCGGGGAAAATTTCAAAAAAATCTAAAACAAGGTGGGGAACAGGCCCGAGACGCTCTGGTCCCAACTGTCCAGCTCGCAGCTGCTCAAGGGGGACCCCAAGGACTCGTAGCCCATATCCGACTTGGGCGAGACATTTCCAGCGACCTCAGCACGCGGGAGGAGCGGCTGATGGGCGCAAGCGGGCGGTTTGGGGCGCAGCGCCTTCAGCCTCCTGGGGGGCTGCGCCTCCTTCGCGGGCCGACTCTTTGCGTAGTTGTGGTGCAGCAGCAGATACTGCGAAATGTCCGGATCTACGGCTGCGCCGCCACTGGGTTCCAGCTGCTTTGCTGGCGCCCCCACCATTTTGTCTGGAACAGCTTCCTGGTCCTGCAAAACGCCCACGGATAATCAGCTGCTGATTGGTTCAGCCGGGAGCTGGGAAAATGGGTGCGGTTTCAAGCAGCTGCAGGGTGGGATTCAGCGGTTTAGTGCGCTAGTAAGAACTGATTAGTTACCTCTGGATAAAAGGCGCATTACTAATTAACTCAACACACTGGCCAACAGATCTAAAAGAGTAAATTTGATGATGAACCGCCAGCGGGTTTGGAGAAACGTCGGGGGGATCAGAACAGGACAGGAATGTGCTTACTTGATCGGTTGTCTTCTGAGCAGCGTTCTCCAGATCTCGGGCAATGTCCTCGAGTAGGGTCTGAGTGAAGTGCTCGAGCGCGTTGAGGTCGACCGTGTCCGACTCCAGCTGGTCAAGCAGCTCTGGAAGAGAAGGCAAATCAGGACTGTCCTCAACAGGTGGCGCTTCCGCGCGTCTGCTAGAGCCGCTGCTGAGTAGGCGCTCGTTCCTTTCGGCCGAAGGAGGGACTCGGTTGATCCACTCTCGGGCGCGCACACGACAGTCCGGCTCTGGCATTGGCAGGGGGGCGTTTCCTGCGGGAAATGTCAACAATGAGGCTCGGCGATTGGTTGGGAAATGGGGCTGCGCACCTGTAGGCGACGATGCAGTTCGCTGTTCTCGGCCAGCAGGCGCTCATTGGTCGCCCGCAAGCGGTCGCATTCACCAATCAGCGTCTCGTTCTTGTTGAACAGCTGCTGGATGGCGGTTTCCATCTGTTCCACTTTGGCTTTTTTGCGATCGCGCGACGTTTGCGCCGCCACTCGGTTCTTTAGTTTTCTGCAAAAAAAAACAAGTATTTAAAAGATTGCAATTTTTTTTTGATTGAATTGTGGGGATTTTGATTGACTTGGGAGAATTGAAACTGGGGATCGAGTGAAACTTTCGGAAAACCAAAAAAGAAGTTTCTACCACAACATGGAACCACCATCCAAACTTTGGTTAATGCAGTTTCAAAATGGCGAATTTTTCAAAAACCTCATTCCTTAAGTTGCACCCTCAAGTTTGCAGGCCCGTTTTCGAAAATTCCTCTTGACCCCGCTTGAACTCCAATTCGAGTAAAACTTTAGGGAAACCAAAAAAGAAGTTTCTACCACAACATGGAACCACCATCCAAACTGTAGCTAATGCAGTTTCAAAATGGCGAATTTTTCAAAAACCTCATTCCTTAAGTTGCACCCTCAAGTTTGCAGACCCGTTTTCAAAAATTCCCCCAGATCCCATTTGAACTCCAATTCGAGTGAAACTTTCGGAAAACCAAAAAAGAAGTCTCCACCACAACATGGAATAACTATCCAGACTGTAGTTAATGCAGTTTCAAAATGGCGAATTTTTMAAAATCCTCACTACTGAAGTTGCACCCTCAAGYTTGCAGATTCTTTTGCGAAAATTCCTCGTGACTTCATTTGACCTCCAGTTCGAGTGAAACTTTCGGGAAACCAAAAAAAGAAGTTTCAACCACAACATGCAACTATCATCCAAACTGTGCTTAATGCAGTTTCAAAATGGCGAATTAATCAAAATCCTCACTCCTTAAGTTGCACCCTCAAGTTTGCAGGCCCGTTTTYGAAAATTCCTCTTKACCCCGCTTGAACTCCAATTCGAKTAAAACTTTAGGGAAACCAAAAAAGAAGTTTCCACGACAACATGGAATCACCATCCAAACTGTGGTTAATGCAGTTTCAAAATGGCGAATTAATCAAAATCCYCACTCCTTAAGTTGCACCCTCAAGTTTGCAGACTCRTTTTTGAAAATTYCTCTTGACCCCGCTTGAACTCCAATTCGAGTGAAACTTTAGGGAAACCAAAATAGAAGTTTCCACCACAACATGAACTCACCATCCAAACTGTAGTTAATGCAATTTCAAAATGGCGAATTTATTAAAATCCTCACTCCTTAAGTTGTACCTTCAAGTTTGCAGACTCGTTTTTGAAAATTCCTCTTAACCCCGCTTGAACTCCAATTCGAGTGAAACTTTAGGGAAACCAAAAAAGAAGTTTCAACCACAACATGAACTCACCATCCAAACTGTAGTTAATGCAATTTCAAAATGGCGAATTTTTCAAAAACCTCATTCCTTAAGTTGCACCCTTAAGTTTGCAGACCCGTTTTCGAAAATTCCTCTTGACCGCGCTTGAACTACAATTCGTGTGAAACTTTCGGAAAACCAAAAAAGAAGTCTCCACCACAACATGGAATCAYCATCCAAACTGTAGTTAATGCAGTTTCAAAATGGCAAACTTTTCAAAATCCTCATTCCTTAAGTTGCACCCTCAAGTTTGCAGACTCGTTATTGAAAATTCCTCTTGACCCCGCTTGAACTCCCATTCGAGTGAAACTTTCGGAAACCCAAAAAAGAAGTTTCAACCACAATATGCAACCACCATCCAAACTGTGGTTAATGCAGTTTCAATGGCGGATTTTTGAAAACCCACACTCGAAAAATTCAACTCCTACGCTTTCACGCTCAACTTTAAAAATTCCTCCTGGTCCCATTTGGACTCCAAATTGAGCAAAACTTTCAGGAAACTGAAAACTCAATTTCCCCGCAAGGATGGAAGAACATTCCAAACTGTGCTGGACCTGGTTTCAATATGGCGGAATTTTTAAGGCACACTCCGGAAAATTTCAAAATAGATGGAATACCTTTCCGGGCTCCAGTTTCAAAATGGCGAATTTTCAAAGTTTCACCTTCCCCTTCTTGCAGACTGAACTTAAAAAATTCCCCCAGACCCCATTTGAACTCCAATGCGGGTGAAACTTTCGGAGCCTGGAAAACGAAGTTTCCTGGACCCAGTGAGGTGATAAAACCGGCCAAAGAACGCAAAACTGCAAAAAAATCGCGACATCAACCGGGCGTACAGAGTTGCCAACAGGCAGGCAATTTCCTCGTCCTCCGTCCTTTGGCTTGCACTTAAACGCCTTTTTCAACTCTTCCGGTCACTTCCTCAAGACTAATTTCCCCAGACGCTTCAATCGGCCGGATTTTGCCAGGCAAAACGGCTTTTCTCAGTGGGCCCTTGCCACGTCTTCTCCTCTGCTCCTACGGCTGCTTTCTCTACATAMTTTTGCTTTTTGGGCTGATTTCCCCAGMAGCCTAGGCATCWCAGKGCTTAAAAAAACGCCTTTTKGGTTCCCCCAGACAGTTTGTTCCCTATGTTGACGGGCTTTTAGCTTGTGTYGTGCGCCATCCGGACCGCTGAACGAAAGGGCGAATGCGCCAACGTTCCCCCACAATTCCCGATGATTCCAGGCAAACCAGAAAAGATGGTTTAGGTGTTTCAAGGGCCCCCCAGCTCCCCCTGCAGCCTGCCTGATGGCAACAATCTGGAAGCTGTTGGGCCGTCGAACTTAGGCTGCTTCTGCGAAAGGCTCCGGGGGGAAATCGTCAGTTCGACTAAGAAAATGGGGGCAAAACACCATCCAGCTGCTACTTACTTCCTCTGGATCTTCTCCTCCCAGGAGAGATGGTCCAGACGGCGCTTCTTCGCCCGCTGCATCTGCCCATCGGCAGTCTGATCCAGAAGGTAGTTGCTGTCGCTCAGAATGCTCAGAATGGCCGGCACTGGTAGCACTGTGGACGTCATCGCGCACTATTCCACAACAAACAAGCAAATCGCTTCTGATCTCAACGAACAATGGCTTTGTTATGCGTATCCAGGGGCGATTTGGCTGACGCAATCCAGCCGAGTGGCGTGGTCGATTGCGATTGGTCCGCCCAAGTGCCGGGAGATTTGAGTAGGCGCAAGCGAAATTTGAGTTTCCCCATCGATTTGAGGCTGATTGAGGACAGCGGCACGCGTCCTGGACACTTGGCAACGGTTGGGGTCCAATTGAGGACAATTGCACTGGCAGGAGGCCGATGGGAGGGCAGAAAATGGCCTTGGGGCGAATGGATTGGCCGCGGCGTTGCCAGCACCTCCCTCACTGGGGCTTGCTCCGAGAGTTCTCCTCAACTTTTCGGGAGATTTTGCTCGATTTTCCCCAACTGGGGCCCTTGGTGACTTCACGCACGCTCCACCAGGCCCTAACAGTGCCCAGAGGGCCGCAAGAGGGCAGCGCGGGCAAAAGGGGGGGCAACCCGCGCTTTGCTTCGCTGAATGCAGTGTGGCCGGCCAGTGACGTCACCCGCGAGGCGTAGAGGTCTCTTGCTGAACCTAAATGAAATAACGCATTTAACCAGGCCGCTGCTGCATTTACCCGCAAGCCCCCATGCAGTCGATCAGAACATTCAACTTAATCAAATTGGGCCGTAATTAACCAAGTTGACCAGTTAATTAGTTAAAATTACATAAAAATATTAATTAAAAAAAAATAATGAACTGGAGCCCGTCCAGGCGGGGGCAATCGGCGGCAACCAGGCAAACAACTGCAAATAGTACACAAACAATATGGCGTCGATCACGTCGGAAAACGACGATTCCGACGACAATTTATCGGTTTCCTCGTCGTTGTCGGGGTCGAGCGGCTCGGGGGGCGCCAGCGCGCCCTCCATAAGGGCCCCCTCGCCAGTGGCGAGCGGTTGGGGCCCCCGGGGGCGGCGCAATCTCGTCCAAAACCTCCGCGATCGACAGGTAAGCAGCGGCGATCTAACCTCAACAGTGGCTGAATTTTCACGGAATTTTAGCTGTTCGGCCGCTTTGCCCGCAGCCCCAGGGCTCCCCTTGAGAGGACGCTTTGCAGGCCGCGCGAGTATTCTCTGTTGTTGTTGGTTGGCCAGGCCAGTGCACTGTAAGTATTGTGGGAGGCGGTTTTGGGGCCTGTTTGGTTGGGCGTGATTTAGGGCCCGAAGGGGCCGAGCCCCTTAATTGCTAGTCACAGTTTTCTCCAACAGGGCCTTGCCGCAAAGGCCGTTTTCCTTCTCCTTGCGCCCCCTTTCAGTAGCCCGGAACCTGCTAATTTGGCGGCTTCCTTCGACCGCTAAACGATTTTGAAGTAACTTTTTAGGGGTTTAAGTAGAAGTAGGCCCCGCCAGGAAAGGTCAGAGTTTCGAAACCTCCGCCGCCATCCTCAGGCCTTTAGGCCGGCGGCTGAGTCTCAATGAAGACGGTTCCACGAGGAGTTTTGCTCAGTTGGGGAGTGAGTGAGTTACGGGCATTTTTCAGTTTCAGTTTCAGTTTTCGGTGGCTTTAGTGGGCCAATTTGGGCGCCGCAAAATTGGTGTTAGTGGGCACGTTTCGACAATGAGCCATCCTCAAATTTGCCACGAGAAAACTTTTTTTAAGCCAGTTTTGTTGAGCTTTATTGGTACCTTTGGACAGATAAAGCTGTTGGTGGCGATTTTTCCCAAACGCCGGCAACAATGTTTGTCGCAAAAATGCCACAAATGCTGGTCGAATTCGGGAAATGCACAGAAAAGTTGCCATTCGCTTTTTTCTAAATTGAACAATACAAGAACCACTGAGGAAAAACAAAAAAGAAGTTTCTACCACAACATGGAACCACCATCCAAACTGTAGTTAATGCAGTTTCAAAATGGCGAATTTTTCAAAATCCTCACTCCTTAAGTTGCACCTTCAAGTTTGCAGACTCGTTTTCGAAAATTCCTCTTGACCCCGCTTGAACTCCAACTCGAGTGAAACTTTAGGGAAACCAAAAAAGAAGTTTCAACCACAACATGCAACCACCATCCAAACTGTGGTTAATGCAGTTTCAAAATGGCGAATTTTTCAAAATCCTCACTCCTTAAGTTGCACCTTCAAGTTTGTAAATTCGTTTTTGAAAATTCCTCTTGACCTCGCTTGAACTCCTATTCGAGTGAAACTTTACGGAAACCAAAAAAGAAGCTTCCACCACAACATGGAACCACCATCCAAATTCTGGTTAATGCAGTTTCAAAATGGCGAATTTTGTGGAGTTTTATTTGTACCTTTGCACAGATAAAGCTCTTGGTGGCGATTTTTGCCAAACGCCGGCAACAGTGTTTGTCGCAAAAATGCCACAAATGCTGGACAAATTCCGGAAATGTACAGAAAAGTTGCCATTCACTTTTTTCCATATTGAACAATACAAGAACCACTGACGACTTTGTGGATTTGAGCCTAAAGTCTTGGGGGAAAAACACGGAAATTTGGCACATTTGCACCGATGCATTTGGGGCAAATTATTCATTCGGCAGTCCAGACGAAGCCACTAATTGCCCGACAAGTTTCGGACAGCGGCCAGCTTCAGGCATAAACCCGGCCGCCTTCACACCTACATTCAAACACTGTTATTTCCCAAACAGATGCAGATACGAACTAACGGCTCGAAGTCGACTTTATAGACTCGGCAATTTGCTCTTAAACGCCTGTTGAGTTTCCGGAAAATACTGAAAATTGGCCGAGTTACGGGCAAAAAACTGAAAACGGTCGTGCTGATATTCCCTCAAGGGTCTGCACTGATCGTGAATGGACTATACCGATGTGGAGCGTGCAAATAATGCAGGTTGAAGTGTGAATGACAGCTGGCCATAGTCTGTTCGGTTTTAGCTGCAAGACTACACAAGAATCAAATGCATTTGTGCCAATGAAAAAATCCGCAAATCTGGAGGATTTTCATCTTAGTTTAGAAAATTTGCCCATTTTTCCAGAAAAATTCAAAAAATTTTCCGCAATTGTTTTTTAAGTTTCGCGTTCGAATTAAGCGTCTAAGAGCGCGCCAAGTGTGTTTCGAACTTTGCGCTGACACCCGAAAAAAACATCGAAAATTGCACGTTTTTCCTTTTAACGCCACTGAATGGAGAGCGACAAGATCCTGAAGGGGGACCGGAAAAATCCGAAACCTGCCCCACATAGGCCCGAACACTCTACAGGGTGTCTCAATTAAAATGAAACGAAATAAAATGTTTTCTTTTGGACAGCGACCACACACTGATGGGCTTCACGCAATGCGGCCAGTACATGCTCAGCTACACGACACGAAGTTGCAACGTCGCATCCAGCCATCCGATCTACTCGCTCAGCTACGAGTACGAGCTCTACGTGTGGCTGTTCAGTCCGGGCGTGCCGCTGCGCCACGTTTCGAAACATCGCATCTTCGGGCACTTCAAGTCGTACTGCCCATTGGAACGCATCCTTTTCATGCAGTTCCCCAACGACGCCACCAAGATCGTCTGTTATGGAAACGAGTGAGTATTTTTTTTTTTTTTG